CTGTAAATCATCCCTCTTCTTTTTTTTTTGTCTTCTTGTAGACTCGGATGCAGAGTTTGCAACCCGACCCCAAAGCTCAGTACCGGAGCGTCTTTGAGGCCTTGAGGAAGATCGTCCGCACGGAAGGCCTCTGGAGGCCTCTGCGAGGAATTAACGTCACCGTCATCGGAGCCGGCCCAGCCCACGCCTTGTATTTTGCCTGCTACGAAAAAATGAAACACACTTTAAGTGACATTATTCAACATGGAGGCAACAGCCACCTGGCCAACGGTATATTGACATAACCCCATGGGTGCCATCTTGGCGCTTTGACTCGACTTGCGTACTTTTTCATGTGGTCTGACATCTTCAGCATGCAATTTCTGCTTCTGGAGAGACAAAAAACAAGACGCTTGGAAGACTCCCATCATTGGCAACCTAGGCGTTCTTGCTACCTTCAACCTCTTGTCTATTTCCTACAGGCACCTGCTCAGTTTTAGAGGCACGCATGTATGAAGAATACCGAAGATACGTAGTGCTCCGGTTCCTCTAAAAGTTAGATGTTCAAGTGTTTTGATCGTAAAATACCTCTGATTGGGCTCTGGGAAGGAGTTGTCTGAAATAGCTTGTCGGTCTAACGTGGGCCGCTTTCTAGGAAAATTTGGTTCTTATTTTTTGGGTTTCGCTTCTCTCCAGAAATCTGTTTTATCACTTGCTAAATCTTACCAAATTTGGCTTGTGCTACCGAGAATGTAAAATTACAAGCTGGCTGGATCAGCCCAATCTTCACCCCTGGTCCGACATTTCTACTTCCCATAATAATCAGCCAGCTGTCTTTAAAACATTACCAGTCTTTCTCTCCAGCATATGACACGCAGAGGCACGCTGGTTCTTTAATTGGAATTTCTGCTTTTAGGATCCACATTGATGCATATTATTTGCTTCATAGCAAACCATGGGCTAGAATAAATTCTCTAGTCTCTTCATTGGCAGTTCACCAATCTGCATCTTAATTGCCTTTCTATTATCCTCCAATTAACACAAATAGCTTTTCACTTATTTTTGTTTGTTTTATTTAGATCTTCTTGGCACTGAAAGAAAGAATCACTAGGTTGCTAATATTTAAATGTATGCCTCCCAATTCCTATTTTGCTTGGCAGACACTGAAATCGAAAATGGTGCACTTACTTCTCTTAATATACAAGAAATACAGATTTGTAATCTCCTTAAATATGCGGTTAATTGACCCGTGGCAGCATAGTGGTTAGAATGCAATATTGTAAGCTAACTCTGCCCACAGTCAGGAGTTCAATTCTGATCGGATCAAGGTTGACTTAACCNATATATATAATTCATTTTCTATAGCATATTACATTAATGTCAATACTTTTTACATTAAAGAACTATATTATGTTTGTTAAAAAGAAGGGAAGGCCTGAAGGCATTGCTGTTTATAAGTCACACAATAGAAGTGTTTTTGTGTGGAATTGGTTTTTTTGTGAGAATCTGTCCTGCATTGAATATTATTTTTCTCTAAATGCAGACACTTGTTACATTTAAATAAATGTTTTGGATGTCAGATTCCCATCTATGAAGTTTATTTATCTTGTACTATTTTGTTCCAAAACTACTTTTGATCTAAGTTACAATTTACCCATTCAATATTTCCTACCACACTTTGTCAACCCAATGAGAAAATGACTATGCCTTCTACTGCTTAATAAATGCCTCAATTTTCTGGAGATTGAGGATCCCTGAATAAATGGAAAGACTATTGCTTTATAATTGAACATCCTTAAAAATGAACATTTGTTTTTAATTTTAAGACAGGTTCAGCATTTATTTATTCATTCAGTTATTCAATTTATGTGGTTGCCCACTTGCTAGGGGACTTGAGGCAACTAATAAAAACACCAAATGCTGTAAAAGAAACATAACATAAAACCATAGCTATAAAAACATATTTCACTGGGGACCAGACATAGAATCTATATAGTTACTAGAGCTTTATCCTGGCCCAACCCAGGTCTACAATCTCCCATGGCAATGCATACCCACACTTTTCTTGGATTGTCAAGATTAATCCATATACATTAAAAAAAAAGCTGAAAAAAATCAGTGTGTATCAGTCCTGCAGAGGAATCAAAGTTAGGTCAAAATTCATAGGTACTCAAGCCAAATTTGTATGCAGCTATTGACTAACTGTTTAGAATTTTTTAGCACTTCCTAAGATGTTGATGCTTCCCTGTTTGCAATTTATATTGTTTCACATTTAGTAAAACCATTTTCAACTTTTCTATCTTATCAGAATAACAAGACAGTGCCTATCCCAAATAATGGAACTTCTGTTTATAAACTATTCAGGCAGCAGCATCTCCTATTGTCTTTCAGAAGTGTGTAAATCCAAGGCCTTTAATATTTTGTCTGTTTTAACATTATGGATACATTGTCTTAGATACATTTTAGTTTATTATTGTCCATCTTTAATTTGCAGAAGTTGTTTGATTGAAAAAAGACTTTTCATGAACTGTAGCTTGTTTTATCGTCTGAATCTAACAAATTGTGGTTAGTCTTGAGTGTAGAATACTTTAAGTAAGTCAATTTCATAAGATGGACCATAAAGCTAGATGATTTAGGAAAATATAATTCAGTTTAATCATGATTTAGTGATCAAATATAATGGTTAGCCATAGTTAATATCAAGAGCCCTTGGTGCAGTGGTTAAGGCATTAGGCTGGAAACCAGGAAATTCTTGAGTTCTAGTCCTGCCTTAGGTTCAAAGCTAGCTGGGTGACCTTGAGACAGTTACTTTCAGGTCTAGGAAGCAGGCAATGGCAAATCACTTCTGCAATCTTGTTAGGAAAACTGCAGGGATTTGTTCAGCCAGGAATCAACACTGATTCAAAGACAGAAAAAAAGCTTAATTTAAATTAGACGAGATAGCTACTGATCTCCTTGCAGCCATGCCAAAGGAAAGAGGAGTGAACATGAGCCAGAGAATTGCCTTGACTCATTCTTGTTATGGTAAATCATAGGTTATTACACTGTCTGAATACAGCTTTAGCGTGGATTGCAGTTATATGGCTCTCCGGGCATTCTAGAAACTATAGATTAGATGTAAAAATTAGCAAGCTGGAAAATGCAGATATTTGGCTTTTCATTTCATACTTGGCTAACATTTTTACATATGTTAGTATGTAAAAATCGTAACTGCAAAGACATCTTTAATACAGAAGCAATCTGAAGTTACTGTTTCATTTGGTATATGAATCAGGAACCATCTGTATGCAAAGCATGTGCTGAGTCATTGAGCACTTTCCACAGCATAGGATTTCACAGGAGGCCGTTAGCATCTTGCATACAGTCCTGAGTTTTCTCCTGCTCCCCCTACCCCGTGGCCCAGTTATGAGGAGTATTTTAAATATAACAGATTTGTTAGATTGATCAGATGTATTCAAGAAGCTTTTTTTTTGCATTAAATTCAGGGGTACAACATATTCAGACTCATAGAGTTCATACACCACATTTTTCCTCATTTACATTAACAACTTTTCTTTTTTCCCTCCAACCTGTAATATAGTATAACAAAAAGACAGCTAAGAAGGTACAATCTTAATAATTTCCGTTAAAATTTTATTCAGAAAGTTCTAGAATTAAAATGATACATGTAAATGAATCTTCAAGCAAAGAGTGGGGTGATTTATTCATCAATTCTGGTACAGCAATTTTGGCCATATGTCCAGTCTTTTAAAGGTTTTGGAGTTGGTCTGAATTGCACTATGACTCAATTTGTATCACCTTGCACACTGACCCCTGGTGCAATCATTCCTTTTGGAGCTCCCCCCCCCCAATTCTTGCTGCAAGGATTTCACATTTACACCAGCTTTGCTTCTTCAGAATTTTTGCATAATTTGTGGACATACAGAGTGTGTCTCTGAGCAAGTATATCAGATTAATCATTTTAAAGAAAACAAGTGTTATAGTTAAAGTCAATTGTACATGATGGTCAAATGTATTATCACTGAGGGTAATTTGTTTAAATAATGTTCTGTGTTAAATTGTTTTCTCTTTTCCTTTTTTCTTTTTGTCTCTCTTTTTCCACCACTCACAATCATTCACAGTTAGAGCTGATTCATTATATATGAAGCAATTGAACACCCAAGCTTATAAAAATAACTGGAGATCTGTTATTATGTTGCTGCTATCATACTAGTTCAGTTAAAGAAATGTAGCCAAAAGCTTCTATACTTGCATATAAAATAGCTGCCTAGGATAGATTGTGGGGAAAAAAATATTCCTTCCATTATTTCTTTTCAACTACAAAATTAAAACATGGAATCTGACTCTAGATGAGAAAATGGTTGCTAGTCCAGACATGGTTTTGATAGTTTTCAAAACAGTGGTCAACTTCCATTTTATTTTCCCGGCATGCTATCTGAATTTCGATAGCATGAATTTTAGAAAGATCAGCTTTGGCAGATGACATCACATGAATTTCCCTGGTGTAGAATTCGACTGTTAGACATGATAAGTCTGAATTCTTATTCACATCACAGGAAATTTTCTTATACTCAGTCTAATTACAGTATCTCTATCTGTGAGCCTTATTACTGTATTGTTAATGTACAGGTAGTCCTTGACCTACAACAGTTCATTTAGTGACTGTTGAAAGTTACAATGGCATTGGAAAAAAGGGACTTATGACTGTTTTTCACACTTATGACCATTACAGCATCCCCATGGTAACATGATCAAAATTCAGCTGCTTGGCAACTGACTCATATTTATGATGGTTGCAGTGTCCCAGGTCATGTGATCACCTTTTGTGACCTTCTGACAAAGATAATGGGGAATACAGAGTCAACTGCAGTGATTTACTTAATAACTCTAGCAAGAAAAATTATAAAATGAGGCAAAACCCATTTTAATGAATGTGTCATTTAGCAACAGAAATTTTAGGCTTAATTGTAGTTGTAATTCGAAGACTACCTGTACTTCAAAAGTCCTTTGATAATTTATACTTTGTTTTATTTTTATTTTTTTAATTTTCCTTTGGGAAAATTTGTATGAAAAAAGTTTTAAAAAAAGTTTTACCCAAACAAGTTTTTGTTATTTAACATAATTCCCGGTAGCAGAGAAAATGGTAGCAGCAAAAGCAGTTTGCTAGCAAAACTTAGACCATTACTGAAGAGATCTCATGTGATAAAGGACAAGACAGTACAATCAGAAAAGAGATGGAGCATCTGGTCTTACAGGTTATAGGTAGAAGCTAAGGAGAAAGATACAGTAATTTGTTCTGGTTATCATTAGAAGCTTTGTCAAAAATCCATAAAATTAATCAATGTGGCTATGCTTTCCTGTAGCACAGAAAATGTGAGAATTCAGAAATAAAGGATTATGTAATGTTTGATGTGTTGAATGAGTGTCATAGCAATGACAGTGTACAACAATTAAGACTCACCTTTGGTGAGATGGGCAGTATTCAAACAAACAAACAATTTGGATACATCAAGTGTTTATAGTAACAGTTGTTGTACGAGGGAGATGGGTGTACTTTAAACATAAGTAAAATAAATAAAGCAGAGGAACCCAACTTGTGTCTTGCTAATTTAATATAAAGTAGAATGCTGGAGATATATCATTAGCAAAAGAAAGAAGGGTCCCTATGTTTTCCCAGGATATAGTTTTAATTCCAGAGCTCCATCCAAGTAGAAATTGCTGAGAATGGCAATCAATGCTATAATTTAATACCCCCACCCCCATATAAACACATATTATATTTTATATTAAACTCTGGCTTTAATGGCTGGCTTATTACCATCTGTTGTACATTTGTTTTCCTAGCTACTCCTGTTACATTCTATTTCAGGTTAACTTTACAAATTATACTGATTTATTTTTATTTATTTATTTTTATTTCACATTTCTAAACCACTCATCTCCCCCACTTTTCAATTGTTTTCTATTTGCTGTCACTTTGAAGGTTTATTTTCTGCCTTATGCATTTTGTATTTATTTTCACAAATTGGCGGTTTCCAGTAAAAATGTTATAGGTTGTGGTCATGTGACTGTGGGACATTACAGACTTCTGTAAATGTAGGGTAGTTGCCAAGTACTTGAAATGCAATAATGTAACCGTGGGGTGACTGTCAGACCCTCAAATCTGGGTCATTTTGGGTAGGGTGTTTGTAACTTCGAATGGTCACGAAGCAACCAGTGGTAAGGCAAGGACTACCTATATTTGTATCATTGAATATAAGTAGAACCCTCTTCTTAGATTTACATGTAATTGCTTGGGGAAAATGTTTTCCTTTTACTGTTCAGTGATAAGTTGGATTTTTGCTCTCTGCACAAAATCCATTCCAGCAATATTCTGCCCAAGGCAGTAGAAGCAACTTTCAAAAGTGGAAGAACTTTCAAAATCAAATTAGATTGGGAGAGGAGTTGTTGGAGTTTTCTTCCCTTTGCCCCATTAATTTATAAAATCCATTACTATTGGCTAAATCTGTAGTCCCACCCACAGTAACTCCTTGGGTCTGACCCTTTGATACAGTCTTACTTTTGTATATTTTTCTTGTAGGGGCTGCCCCATGAGCCTCTGTTAAATAAATGACCCAAAGAGGTGAGAATGACCTCTTTGTTAAGCATAAAGCAAAAGCTAGCTGCTCAATTGCGATCTCAAGTTCCCAGCAGCCAGCTTTTTAAAAATCAGATTTCCCACTACAATTTATGTAACTAATGGAGTGCCAAAGATAGCATCCATAGACACCTCCTACTTTGCCCCTTCTATAGTTCTGTTATGTGAATCTATGCATTGTCCCCTGAGCCCTAAGTTAACATTGTACTTTAGTTGTGAAGAGCCTTTTTTGTCAGCAAAAATTAGCTTCTGCCGTCGTCTGTGTATTTTGAGCCTGTCAGGAAAGCACCTTTCCCAAGTCACTTTTAATGCCACAATTTGCATAAATAATAGTTAAGTGATGCCACAGATGGCATCTATTAACACCTCCTGCTCTCACCAAGCAAAGGAAGTAAGCAACTTCTTTTTGGTCAGCAAATTTTGCTAATGCTGCCTGCAGTATGAACAAGAGGAGCTACCAAACACATTAAAAATAAGTGCAGAACTAAGTAGATACTTACTTTCACAGGATTGCCAGAAAGGTAAAACCAGCTCCTTTATTACACAGTAGTGCTTAAAAGTTTGTGAGTCCTTTTGAATTTTCAATATTTTTACCTAAATATGATCTAATCATATTTTTACCAAATATGATCTAAATGTGATCGCTTTTCCACACAAATCCTCCTAACTAAAGAGAACCCAATTAAACAAATGGATCAAGAACATACTTGTTCATTCATATGGGAGAGATCACAGTTTATGTTGTTTATGCAGAAACACTGAAAGTTCAAAATGATTCATAAACTTTTAAGCACCACTGTATTTTATTATTTGTTAAGTATATTTGCATCCTATCTCACCGTTTTTACTTTCATTGCAAAGAAACTGTGTACTCAGTGGAGAGTAATATTTAAAATGTTATATTAAGACTAAGGTTGCCTCCAGAGGTACTTGGTCTGGGACTCCCAGAGCTCCTTTTTACAATGAGCAAGGTCCCTGGGCAATTGCTTGCTGATCAGCACTGGGTACACTTCAATGAAACGCGTCATATATCCTGTTTACTCTGGTTTTAGGCCTAATTTGTCACATAAACTGCCGTGCTTGATTTTCATGTTGGATAACCTACCCTGGGAAAGGGACAAGAGGGGTAGAACTTGATTCAGTGTCTTAGACATCTCTTCAATACTACTGACCATGGTTTCTTTTGGGACAGAAAAACCATCTAGGACAGAACCATTCTAGTTCTGCTTTTGCTTGAATGGTCAGTTAGAGAAGAGGGTGCTGAAGGATTGCTGGTTTGCATTGTGACTATGATTAGGGCTGTGATTATGTTTAAGACTGCATTATTTTTAACATCTACATGAAACTTATGTAGGAGGTTATCAAGGACAGGGTGGAGTGTCACCAAATATGCAGGTGGCACCCAGCTTTAGTTTTCCATTTCATCTAACATAGATGAGACGGTAGAAGGTCTGAATGAGTGCCTGGGCAGGGTAATGAGAGCTTATTAAATGAGATTCAATTCAAAGAAGATGGAAATAATCGTTCTTGTGAGTGGTTTGCCTGCCCAAGTAAGTGATATTTATCCTGTTCCAAAAGTAGTTGTGCTTCACTTAAGGAACGGATATTGCCTCAGGAGCTTGGAGCGCCCTTTATCAGCATAAGCTGATATACCAAATGTGCCTCTAACTAAATATAGTTTTACAACAATTGTTCATATTCTGTTAAGTTTCCACATCGACTATTGTAATGTATTACAGTATATGTGGGACTGTTTTAAAAAAATCATCCAGAATCAGCTACTTCAAAGCATGGCAGTTAAACTGCTGACTGTAAGTATTCAATATTAATCTCCATTGCATTTGCCATCTAAACTTCCCAGTCTACAGTAATTCAAAAATTCCACTATAATTATAATTAGCAGCAGCAATAGTTAGATTTGTCTACCATTTTTCTGCAGGAACCAACAGTTTAAACATCTTACACAAAATTAATCTTAGTTGCCTCTAGGCAAGATGGGAGGCACAGAGGACTAATCAATAAAATAATAAATAAATAAATAATAAAGTTATGTGAAGCAATATTTTATCAAATGTTTATGAATTAGGATTCACTTCGAGCAGTGAGAAAGTCTTTTGATTGTGGTGCCTTATTTGCGAACACTAGTGTTGTATTACTGTTTTGAAATATTAGACAATATTATTTTTATTTTTCAGGTATTTTAAAAGCCATTTTAATGGTTTAGAATGTTAGTGTTCTAATTGCTATTTTATCACTGTGATTTCATGCTGTAGTCATTATCATTATTGATGTTCAAAATAGATCTTACTGACACGATCGTTGTTTATAACTACCTCAGTGGATTGATTACAGTATACAACCTAAAAAACATGTAATGTCATACTTATTTATTTATTCTAATTTTATGCTGCACATCAAAAGGCCTCTGTAGTGTAAAGTCAATTAAAGCCTACTATAAAAAGCAAACCTTTATAAATGTTTGTAAACATTTTATAAAATATATAAAATATTGTATAAATCATTTGAAAATACAAAATAGTATTACAAATTAGATAAGAACAAGCATCAATAGTGTGAAAATGCTTTGGACATTCCAACAAAAGTGGAAAGAATCTATGGCTGCTGCAGCCAGGGAGATGTCTTTACTTCTGCTTCCAGTTTTGTTAATGAGAATCAGTCTCTCTTTGTTGTGAGCAATATATAACAAGTTATCAAGTGGAAGTACAATTATATTGCAATAGAAAGATGATCGAATACCTGCCTTGAGAATTGCTTCTTTCATGGTTGGATTTCAGAGCTGAGGTAGCGCAGTGGTTAGAGTGCAGTACTGCAGGTTACTTCAGCTGACTGTTAGGTGCAGTTCGGCAGTTCATATCTCACCGGCTCAAGGTTGACTCAGCCTTCCATCCTTCTGAGGTGGGTAAAATGAGGACCCAGGTTGTTGCGGGCAATATGCTGATTCTGTAAACAACTTAGAGAGGGCGGTAAAAGCACTATGAAGCGGTATATGTCTAAGTGCTATTGCTATCTGGTATAGAGCACTACCTAGAGTAGGGACTAGAGGTATTTGTAATAACAAGATGTGACAATGTCTCCAGAATATTCCTTTATTTTATTTTATTTTATTTTATTTTTTTAAAAAGTCAGACCTATTGAGTCCTTGGCTCAACAATGCTGGGAATTGATGTGATCCCCTGCTATTCCCAAGAAGCTTCTGTGAGGTCTCTGATATCAGAACTCTTAAAATTGTTTTAATTTTTGCCTTGAGATGTATCCTGACAATTCCATGGACTTTTATTTTTATCTAGGATTTTGTACTTTCTATTCTTAGGTTTTGTATTTCTTTGCTACTAATCCTGAGAAAGCTCAAGACAGGGTATAAATATCCTACATAAATAAATCAGTTTATTCCCTTTCATGTCTTAAATGTATGAAGCCATATTGTTTCGATAAAAGGCCTGTGGGACTGGGCTACTGATCTGAAACCCAAGTATGCCTAGTGGTTTGATACTGTTTTCAATGTTAATGTTTTAACCATGGAAGTTTATGCATTTGTTTTATGTAAGAATGATTTCAAGTGTCAGATTGATGAGATCTGGGAAATATTATTAAAAATAAAATACTGCTTACTTACGACTTTTCAATAACTGTACATGCTGACTATTATGGATCAGTTAGTAGATAAAAGATATAATGCAAAGAATAGAAATAAATAATTCTGAGAATGATCATAGAAAGAAAGTTTGGACTTGCTCTGGGGATTTCCATACATATCTTAGACAGTATGGAAAACAATTCAAGCTTTGTCATATCTAGCTTGACTAGTGTTTCTCAACCTTAGTAACTTTAAAATGTATCGACTTCAACTCCCAAAATTTCCCAGCCAGCCTCGCTGGGAGTTGGTCCATACATCTTGGAAACACTATATGTAACTGTTCTGTATGATACATGTTACTGAATATAGCATTGTATTTTATTTATTTACAAAACAGAAAATACAATTTCAGCAATGATATAGCTGTATCTTCAATAGCTTATACCATTAACCTATGCCATTGTTTCAATTACTTTAATCTGACTCCAAGTTGAATAGAAAAGTATTATCTGAGAGTAGACCTATAGACTTAAAAATATAATTCAGCAATTGAAAATGACTTTATGGACTTCAGTTTTGTAAATTCAGTTTTTTTCCCTAGAAGGTAAAAGATTATGTAAAATTGTGACCTTATAGAAAGAAAAAAGCTATAGCTTTCTTCAGTTGATTGTTGATAATATATTTCACATTTTTGTATTCTGCAGATTAGAAAAGCTTTGGAAATTGGTCTGACAGAACAATCATGAATGGATTAAGGAATTCAACTGCCTTGCCTGGTGGTCTTCTCCTTTTAATTGTTGCATTTTTGCTATGCCATGTGGACAAAGTACATACAGAACATCAACCTGAAGAAACCAACAATTCAGCAGAATGTTCTGGTTCCTATATCTGTAAGAAAGGTGTAATTTTGCCAATTTGGGAACCTCAAGATCCTTCATTTGGTGATAAAATAGCAAGAGCTACTGTATACTTTGTGGCCATGGTCTACATGTTTCTAGGAGTATCTATTATAGCAGATCGTTTCATGTCATCCATAGAAGTTATTACTTCCCAAGAGAGAGAGATAACAATCAAGAAACCCAATGGTGAGACCAGCAAGACAACAGTAAGAATTTGGAATGAAACTGTATCGAACTTAACATTGATGGCTTTGGGCTCTTCTGCACCTGAGATTCTCCTATCTGTCATTGAAGTGTGTGGCCATGGCTTCAAGGCAGGAGACCTTGGGCCAAGCACTATTGTAGGAAGTGCTGCCTTTAATATGTTTGTCATTATAGCCATTTGTGTTTATGTTGTTCCTGATGGAGAAATCAGGAAGATTAAGCATCTTCGTGTGTTTTTTGTCACTGCAGCTTGGAGCATTTTTGCCTATACTTGGCTGTATTTAATTTTGTCAGTTATATCACCTGGGGAAGTAGAAGTTTGGGAAAGTTTACTCACTTTCTTCTTTTTTCCTATCTGTGTCGTGTTTGCATGGGTTGCTGATCGAAGGCTTTTATTCTACAAGTATGTATACAAGAAATACAGAGCTGGAAAGCAGAGAGGCATGATAATTGAACATGAGGGTGAAGGGCCACAATCTAAGGCTGATATTGAAATGGATGGAAAGATAGTTAATTCCCATGTTGAAAGTTTCTTGGATGGCACTCTGGTCCTAGAGGTGGATGAGAAGGATCAAGACGATGAAGAAGCAAGGAGAGAAATGGCTAGAATCCTGAAAGAATTGAAACAGAAGCATCCAGACAAAGAGATTGAACAGCTAATAGAACTAGCTAATTATCAAGTTCTGAGTCAGCAACAAAAGAGTCGCGCCTTTTATCGCATTCAGGCTACTCGGTTAATGACTGGAGCTGGTAACATATTGAAGCGACATGCAGCTGACCAAGCACGAAAAGCAGTCAGCATGCATGAGGTCAACTGTGAAGTGGCAGACAATGACCCTGTCAGTAAGGTCTATTTTGAACAGAGCACCTACCAGTGCCTTGAGAACTGTGGCACAGTAGCTCTAACAATTGCCCGTCGAGGTGGTGACTTGACCAAAACAGTCTTGGTTGATTTCAGAACAGAAGATGGTACAGCCAATGCAGGGTCTGATTACGAGTTTACAGAAGGAACAGTGGTATTTAAGCCAGGTGAGACGCAAAAAGAAATAAGAGTTGGTATAATTGATGATGACATATTTGAGGAAGATGAGAATTTCCTTGTTCACCTCAATAATGTGAAAGTGTCAGAACGATCTGAGGAAGGTGTTCTAGACGGCAACCACGTTGCAACTGTGGCTTGTCTGGGGTCACCTGCTACAGCGACTGTTACAATCTTTGATGATGATCATGCTGGCATATTTACTTTTGAGGAACCAGTCACTCATGTAAGTGAGAGCGTGGGGACCATGGAAGTGAAAGTGCTACGGACATCTGGAGCTCGAGGAAATGTTATTGTGCCATACAAAACAATTGAAGGCACAGCCAAAGGAGGTGGAGAGGACTTCGAGGACACCTGTGGAGAGCTTGAATTTCAGAATGATGAGATTGTGTAAGTAGTATTTAAACTTTTGGGGCTTATAAGTGTTTGTTTGCTTGCCTATCTGATAAAATATTCTATTCAGAGCATTTCATAATTAATGCTGCATCAAAAGCTGAAGACGCTTGTATAGTGACATTACTTTAAAATATAGCTCAAAAATGCTATTGGACTGTCCTGAAGATTTTGTGTGTGTCATGAAATAGTATGTGTGTGAAAGAGTGAGTCTATCAAAAAGAGTGAATTCTGAATGTGCAAATATAAATGCAAGTGTTTTGCATTGAAGCTACTTCATCAACCTTTCAGAAATTCAAGTCATTATTAAGTGAGAATAATAAAAAGCAGTATTGAAAATTGTAGTTTCGTTTTGTAAGCACAGACATATCCTGAACTCATCTCGTAGTCAAGAAGATCTTATATTTAGAACTAACTTGGGATGGGTCTATAACTATGACTAATAAATACAGTTAGGTTGCAAGTTCAGAGAGAGTTGTCATTAGCCTTTGTGACATTATGAAACATTTATAGTTTGCACTTTGAAGTGAATGTTACCATGTGGGGAAAGGTCCAATTAGGCAAGGCAGCCAAGTTTGACAGTTTACAAATATGAAAGCAGTTAAAAAGGAAGCACTGCTGATAAGTATTTCCTGACTGCTAGGAAACGTTTCTTCTCTCACTTTTTTCCCATGTATGTATGGAATCCTAACACACAAATACACACATTTTTTTTCAGCTGATACTTTTACCTGGGTTCTCATAAAGAAAAAAATTCTAATGTGTAGTTTAAATATTTGCTCAGGCAACGGCAGCCAGGATCAAGCCTCCATTTGATCATGAAACTTATTGGGTAACTCTGGGCCAGCCCAAACTATCTTACAGTATGGCTGATAATAGATAATGTTGTTAGAATAAAAAAGGCCAAAGTTCTATAGCCATGGGTTTTGGGCTTAAAGTGTGGTCGGAGCTGCTGTCTTTCTATAAATCTTGGTCGGTGGGTGTGGAGTGCTGGCTTTGTTTCAGTAAATGGAATGATTGGTTGTGTGGTTGTATCATGATTGGTAGATTGGTGCTGATTAGTGCTGGCTGTGTGTCCATTGTTGTTTCGTGTTGTAACGGCCTGGATAGTGGGTGGGGCTCATTTGCCAAGACAAGCTCAATCTTACATGGGAAAAGACCCAAATACAACAAGACCAGCATACCTACACCCATAAAAATCTACGAAAAGATTGTCTTGGCAACATTTCGGCAAGGTCTCACTCACCATCTTCAGGCTGGAGATGGCAAGTGAGACCTCGCTGAAACGTTGCCAAGACAATCTCAATCTTTCATGGGAAAAGACCCGAATACAAGAAGACCAGCATACCTACACCTGTGAAAATTTACGAAAACAAATATATGTATAACTTCAACAAAATAGCTGGACTATGTAAATTGGTTCTGCTTGCTTAAAGCCTAACACGGGCAGATCATAATCTCAACACCTAGTCTTAACACATGAAACATATGTGCTGAATCCAAGGACATTTTGTATAATTCTATGAAATTGAGCCATATTAAGCCGTGAGTGCATACCTCTCCTATGTAGATATATGTACGTATGTATGTATATGTATGTGTGTGTGTGTATACACCACAGCAATAAACTAAGCCTTTGATTTTCTTCCTGAATGCATAATGTGTCAGTGAAATATGTATAAGGGCAGTTGCAATAGGAAATTATGTAAAATTTTAAACCACTCACTTCCTGTATTCTAAATCTTGAATTGTGTGGAAAGACATAAAAAGAGAAACAATCCTTTGTATTCTATAAAATACAAAGAAAAAACAACAATACCAGGATGTAAAAGTATTTATGTTATAAACAAATTAAGATAGCTGTCTGCTGATTAAGTGGAGTGCATATAAAATGCAATCTCTGTATGATCACTGAGGAGTGTTAGAAAGGCAGAGCATCTTTGTAAGCACCAGTCTTTGATCTTGGGACTTGTCAGCTGACTTAGCGAATCTGTGCTTCATTTTTTATTAAAGATGCATGACCTTTTATCAGATGCAAATTAAAAAATGTCCTTCAGTCTTTTTGAAAAGAAAAAGATACAGAGGAAATGAGACTAATGTAATATTTTCCATAACTTTATGAAAGATTTGCTGCTGGCTATAAAAGAATGCAGATTGCATTCATTAAAGGTATCATTGTGCTTGTAGCAGTTAATGGGAAAATAGGAAAGAAAATGATATCCAAAATAATGCATTTTAAGAGATTTTTGCACTATTGGCATTCCTTTTTCTTTCCGATATTTGGCATATACAGTTCTTACAACTATCATCATATAGAAAAATGAAGTTCCAAATTATTTTTTGTCAGTTTATCAATAATACCTAAAAGAAAACTTTCATTAATATTTCCACACGCGCACACACACACACACATTCTTATAAAAACTTTTCTTTCAAACTTAATTCAGAGTAAATCTTAATCCACGTATTTTCCTATTGATCTAACATTTTTTCCTTAGGCTTTTCATCCATTTTATCATACAATCCTTAACATATTCATCTTCCAAGTTCTTCCTAAATAGTATTTTATAAACTTTAGAAATCATGATTATTCCTGATAATAAATTCCATTCAAATTCAGATTTGTCAGCTGCAAAAACAAAACTTTTTTATCAAGTTTAAACCTTTCAAATATTCTATGATAATTACACCTTTCACAATTAAATCAATCACTTACTAGTAGTTCCTTAGTTTTTAACCTTAGATTCTTCTTCTTGTAATAACAATAGATGATATGTAATCCATTTGGATTCAATTAATATCACTTTCCAGTGTGATGATATCCACAATGATGTCTTAGTGGAAAGTCTTCTTTTATAGTTCAACCAGATACAATCAATCAACTGCCTAATAAAATGATTCTTAAAATCTATGTTAAACTTTATCTTATTATATCATAAATAAGCAAGCCACACAAATCTCAGATCAAAGCCTTCAAGATTTAACAGCTTTTGATTCTCAGAGTCATCCAGTCGTTCAACCGTACCAAACAAAATGCAACATAATACAATCTAAGGTCAGGCAAACCAAGATCGCCCCCTTCTTTCTCATTTTGTAAAAGTTTATATTTACAGTAATTCTTGATTTTTTTATTTTGTCCGATAAATTTTAAAAATATCCATCTGCCATTGTTTAAAGGAGAGGTATTTAATGAAAATTAGCATAGCATAGCATAGCACAGCACCTTGGAGGTCTTCTAGTCCAGCCCAATGCTCAAGCAGGAGAACCTATACAATCCCAGACAAGTGACCGTCCAGTCTCTTCTTAAAAATCTCCAGTAATGGAGCACCCACAATTTTTGAATGCAAGCTGTACCACTGGTTAATTGTCCTTGCTGTTAGGCAGTTCCTCCTTAATTCCATGTTGCTCGGTTTCCAACCATTATTTCTTATCCTGCCCTCTGGTGCTTTGGAGAATAATTTGACCCTCTCTTCTTTGTGGCAGCCCCTCAAATACTGAAATACTGCTATCATGTTACCCCTAATTCTTCTTTTCTCTAGACTAGCCAGACCCAAAATCTGCAGCCATTCTTCATATGGTTTCATCTTCAGGGCTTTGTTCATCTTAGTTTCTCTTCTCTATAGTCTAAAAGAGAAATAGCATTCTGGGTAAGATAGACATTTTAACAACATAATTTTTCCCATCAGTAGTTTTTCCCATCTGGAAATCTAATTTTAGCTGACTCTACATTTTAACATAGTTGTATACAATATAGTATACAATATAGCAGTAATCTTATTGATAGTTTTATGCTTTTGCTTGTAACAAGAAACCAATTATACATGATAAGCATCTGAACAACAAATGATTTCTCAGATAGGTCAGTGAATAGAACTTTTTAAAAAAGGAAGGGGGATTAAAAAGGACAGAGACACATTAGAGCTGCATGCTGGGTGAGCTTTAAGTCTAAAATTCTTAGTTAAAATCCATAGAATGTATGATCACTTATGAATATGATTTCTTTTAGTCTCTTACATTCATTTCACCAGAATCCAATTATATAAAAAGGTTGCCTCATCCTGCCTATGGATCATCCCCATCCATTATGATATGTTTTCTGTTCATTTTTTCCTCACAGCATATCAAACAACTTCAGGCTAAACTTAAAGTCATTGTTTATATTGGACAAAAATCTGTAATTTATTTTCTGATAGATTCAGTAACATTCTGTGGGTAAGGAAACAGAGTGTACCTTTCAAGCAGCAAGGAGTACAACTGTCTAAAATCATGATTGGTTACAAAGGCCAAAGACAAAAATATATACCATAGTTTATCTGTCAATCACAAAACAATAACCTTCAGCTAGTTCTAACTGTTTGACCAAATTTTTCTTGAAGCCCAAGCATTAACACAGAGTTTAAACTATACCATGCGCTTGCTAATTAATGGTGTTATACTTAAAATTCCAGCTATCTGCAGGAACCTATGCTTAAATGTTAATATTAGTATTCACATTACTTAAAATCTTCCACACACCACAGTTTTTGAATGGAGCAGTCTTCTAATATCTGTTGTTTTGGCAATTCCAAATATGGACATAAGCTTCCTTTTATTGGTAAGGAACACACATAATAAAACTTAAAATTATTCACCAGGGTTCTGTAATTGTGGTAGCCTGTTTTCTTCTTTCATTTTTAAAATTTTCACCAGAATGTGAGAAGTTTCAAGATTCCAATAAATCAGCTTTGTATGCTTCTGAAATTGCTCATCAAGAATTTGACATGAGAAAGAGTAATATGTTCGAATCTTAAATGCTAATACTGCTCCAAATGGAAGAAGAAAATCTAATCTCTTGGAAGGCCATTAATGAAAGGTGGAAAACAGATTTCATCAATTCTACTTCCTATCCACTGTCTGCTTCCATAAGTAAGAGCATCTTTTAAAATAGCATCAGAGGGACGTCAAAGATGGAAGAAAGAATATTTAACAATAATCCTGTCCTTTGCCTTTAAATAGAA